ATAATTTCTAACCTTTCCTATGGGAAATGATCCTGCTCCCACTAAAATCCCCAGGACTTCACCCACCAATTTCAGTACTCAGTCCACAAACACTGGGTAAACAGGGGCAGCATTTTGTACGTTACTCAAATACAAAATAAGGTTCCTTGCAACTTTAGCAAAAATCTGAGAAAAAAACTGTACAAAACCAGTTTAGCCAATAACTGGAAGTTTCTTCTTTCTTTTTTTTTTACCTGATCCTATTCAACAAAATTAGTTACAAAATCTTATTCATTTGGCTCAACATACTCACCTAAGGTTGTATTAAAGCAGAGGAATTCTTTTAATTAAACTTCATATACCTGCCATAATTCCTCCCCTGTGATTACTTATTTCTTTTTCCAGTTCAAAGGCGAAGGAAGTCATGGAGTGATCCTATTTTTATACAGTTTACTTTTCTCTAGGACACTTGAAAGGTATATTTCATTTTTTAAACATTTTCCTCTAGTTTAGTTACATCTTCCGAAATGGTCTTTCCCTTCTTTTCCTTAAATGTCCATTCTTAGTCGAATGTGGAGAAGCAACTGTCCAAGAGGCAGATGCAGACCCGCTGGCTGTGTTTTATGGATACGGATGTTGTACGCTCTGAGTACCTGCCTGCACATCCGGGAGCAGGCAGGAGGGGCAGCAGAGAGGAGGGAAGCCCTGTTGCATACACAGCAAAAATAATGCACTGTATAAAACCAGGAGTTGTCCCACTGACAGCAATAGTCACCGTCACAGTCAATTAAACTTAAACAGGAAAATCACAAGAAGTTTATTTAAACACAACAGAATTCTGCCAGTGTGACTATGCTGGCAGAGGTGACTGATAGGGTCTTTCTAAACCCAATGTAATTAGGTTTGGGTAAAGATGCTTTAGAAAGGTACAGAAGCATATTTATACCAATATAAAACATGATTCATACTAATGTCTAACACTATGATAGCTATTTAGCAAAAAATTGCACCGCTACTTCAAATAGTTGTGTCCAGGCTACGCCTGGGTGTAACTGAGGCCCTTCAGCAGTAATTGCACCGAGGGAAATCCCAGCTCCGTCTGCAAGTGGTTTGAATCTGACCCTACATTTGAATTTTAATAGGAACACATGTGAAGTGCAAGAGCTCCAGCTGAGCATAAAACTGCTGTGTCAGGATACCACTGCTGTGCCAACAGCAAAGAGAAATAAATGAGTCTATGGAATTTCTTCCTGTTTCCTCTTAATCAGGCAGTGAGGTACAGCGACCACCTCAGGCACTGATCCGGACGCTACCATAACACTTTGTGCTTGGTTGTACAGGGTCCAAGAAGATTTAGACTGCACAGCAACTCCTCTGTTAAAATTAAGTTTTGGAAACATCACCTGTACACAGGTAAGATTAGCCTCATTTCTCAAGTTTTCTTTTTTTATTATTCCCACATTTGATTTAGGAAAAAATTCTCACTTGTTAATCCAATGAAAAAAAAAAGCATAAGGCCATAGAAAAATGTTTTGCGAATTTTAATCGTGACTGTCCATTTAAAAAACGGATGAGGAGGAGGAGGAGGATAATAACAATAAAACCACAGCTAGTCTGGCATACCTCTGCTCATGACAGGCACGACAGAGATGGGAGCGGGACACCAGCTGCCATTTTGCAAAGGGCTTTTTCTCCGCTGCCTCATGGCGTGACCGTGGGCTGTTTCCCCGCAGGCTGTGCTCAGCCTCCTCCTAACGGGCCGAGCGAGCCCGCACGAGCTCGACGGTGGCCAGGAGCCAGGACCTGGCGGCGGGGACATCGAGGCATGGCGGCGGCGGGGCCCAGTGGGCTACCTGCGCTGGGGCAGGTCGCAGGCGGAGGCACGGCCCCGCAGCCAGGAGGCCCATACCTGATGTCCGCACACCAGACGCCAAGGCTTCGGGGACAAAGGCTGCATTTAACGCGAGGCTTCACCCCCCTCTCCCCAGGTGTGCCCCAGGCTGAGGACACCCCGGCTGCCCATCTGGCTGTGCAGCATCACCGGGAGGCATGGAGTTCTCTTCGGCACCGACAGCCTGCTCCTCTCTGACTGGAAAACGGAGAGAGTCTTCCACCTGTACTTCTACAGTGGGCAGCAGGAGCAGACAAAAACAGCCCATCTAACAATAGGTATGCACCCGAGCTTGCCAGGGGAGGATATGAGGTATGGATGTCACATACAGACCACGCACAGAACTGTATATGTGTGTAGCTCGGTGGGTCTTCTTACACATACAATTCAATATTCTGTATTTAATATATACATACCTCCACTGTATATAATATTAAGCTTTCACGGAATGTGAGGAGCCTACTCCAAACAACAGCGTAAAAAGACACAAATAAAAACCTGGCTTTGGAAGGACCGTGACCGTTTTGGAAGGGCTAATGCTCTCAAGCAGGTGGCCCATTGCTGGGAAGAGCTATAGGAGTGTTTTCTATAGAAGTAATAACCCCTGAGTCCCTGCGTAAATTCTGGTTCGCTGACACCCCGCCCCCCCAGCCCACAACGGGTTCCTGGGCATGGTGGATGCTCAGCATCGGGCGAAGCCAAGGCTGTGCTGTTCTCCAGTGCCAGGGGGCCTGAGCGGGGCTCCAGTGGGCAGGCGCCGGGTGAGCTGCCAGTGGCACAGAGTCCATCCCACCCATGGAGCACGCAGCGGGGGATGGCCACCGGGCTCACCCCCCAGGGGGGAAAGCCCGTGGTCTCGTCCCAGCATGGGGGCCACTCAGGCCTTCACCATTTTTCCCCTACTCCCAGATGTAGCCAAAGAGTTTTTACTGGAGAAGTGACAGTTTTTCAGGATACAAGATGCAACTGTCGCTTCTGTGTTAAATACCCAATACGGACATACTGTTTAAAACCATGTTTCATCTTCTGTTGCTATTAAGCCCCCATCAGTCTAATACGAATGCCCTGCTGACTAAGCGTCCTAGAACAACTAGTAGGAGGAGGGAAACCCACAGACCCCCACCCCTCCCATGGGACAAATCCCAGGAGAGAACATTCCTGTAAGTGCAAAGTTTAAATACAACAGGAAGCAGAATCATTTCATGATTAAGTCAAAATTTTGAATAAACCTATTTTTAATGCAGCAGTGCTGGCATGCAGGATGGGTTAACAGCCTGTTTTCAGCATTTAACTTAGATTTAAGCTTATATTTTCCTGCCCAGCAGCCAGGTGCCACCATAGCCTTCATGTGAACTGCTCCTTGTAGCATCAAACGGATTGCAAACCAGGCTGCATGCTTAGGATGCGAGTTCCTTGTTTCTCCGTGCCACTGTGCACTGTTTACCTTCACTTTCTGAATGCACAGCCCCTTTTCCTCGCTCTCCTTTCACTACAGCATTTAAAGTAAAGTAAGAAACTTGAAAACACCACACTAAAGGCTAAATTTGCAGGAAAGAAGGGTGAATCGGGATTCACAGTCATGATAAGCAGCATGGCCACAGATAAGGATGTGCACATCTGTTCAGAAAAACAATATGCAAACGTACCCGGCAAGGAGTCGAGAGCAGTATTTATAGCGCCTGAATTTCCCAAGGCGGGGGCCCACACAGCGCAGGGGGGCAGCCCCCATTGGCCCGGGGAGGCCAAGTCGGTGCTGCCCCAAGCTCCCTCCTGGGGCAGGGTGGGCAGCACACCTGCAGCAATCCAGCTGGTTCAGCTTTTAACCTTTTCTAAAACCTTTTTGAGGGGGGTGTGGGTTTTTTAGACTCTTTTTTTAACTGTGTTTCCTTTTCAGACACTCATTCACATCACTGGGAAAAAGACCGAAGTGAAGACCCAAGCAGCCCAGGGAAGAGGCATCCATCCGTGGAGATGGCAATCAGGACCAAGTGGGCAGGCGCGACTGTCAGCTGGAACGGGACAGACCCCTTCTTCTGAGGAGTCAAACAGGTCAGACCCCTTCTTCTGAGGAGTCCCGGCATCTCCCACCTGCTGCTGACTCCACCAAATACTGTAGCCTGGAGGAGAAAAAACGCTTTCACCAATGAAACAGCCTTTAGTGCCTTGAGCAGATGCCCTGTTTGGCAAGGCATTACACCCACTATGAAAGCCTGCGCCAGTGAGGAACAGTCACTAGTGACACTGCCTCACTGCACACATTTTCAGGTGGTAGGATGCAGGTTCATCTGCTTCCCATGACAGCTGGCAGAAAAAGGAAAGAGGGTGGCAATTTGCTTTCCTCCCATGCCAGGCAGAGATGTTAAAGAAATCAAGGTGTCTCTTAAGAGTGCAGTGGAAGTGAAATCAATATTGAGCATTGACAATACTGTGTGCATCTAATTTATTTAATCCAGTGTGTGCAACTAATTTAGCTGTTTGCAACGAGTAAGGTTTCCTCCCAGCTCTCTGCAGCTGTGACTTCTGCAACCAGGTCTCTCTCCTGCTTCAGTGATAGCTCAAGCGCGGACCCCGGCCAGGTTGGCTCACGGAGCTATCCCGCATCCCGCACGCCAGCGGGGAAGCACAACTCGTGCATGGGGACAGGGGCAAAAGAGTCTCATGAGGTGCTCCTTGCTGTGAATTCAGCGATTTTACTGACTTAGCGTGGCCATGTCCTGGCACCCTGCAGCAGCCTAGCGAGCGCGGGCAGGGCACATCGCTCCTCGCTCACGTTAATCACTTTCCACTTCCTTTTTTTATAGACATCACCTAAAAAAGACCCGTTAGTCATACCAAACTGTGTGTTGCTAATGACAACTGTACTGAGAACAATAAACCTTTCTGCAAGTGATCCAGAAGTTTGGTTTAAATTATTTGAATTTAAAAAAAAAAAACAACTGCTCACAACCAGCCTGAGATTCAGCCCGGCCGGGGTGAGGAGCCCACTGGTTAGCAAGCTAACGCGGGGTCTGCGCTTGTCATTCCCCCCCTTCTTCAATTTCTGCTCAATTCAGAGCTCCCCCGAGTGCATGGCATGCCCGCTGCAGAGCTGTGGGTCAGCCAAAGCGCTGCTCTCCCCAAGCGCCCGCAGCGCCAGTGACACTGTGACAGGCATGCCACCGCTGCCCAGGCACGGGCACCACGCAGAAGGGCCTGGGGCAGGGCTGGGAGCCCCCAAAGCCTGGGGGGCATTGGCAGGATGGGAGACCCCAGCGCCGGCCGGGGGGC